AGCAATGCGAAAGCAAACCTGCTTCATTTCGTACTGCGCGACTGCCACGACGATTGTCGACCGGGATTGAAGAGGTGAGAACCTCACATGTGCCGCCGGGTTCTGTTTCACTGTTCGGGACCATCCCTCACATTGTTCTCGTTATCGACAACGCGCTTCTTCAGTCTTGCCTGAGCAATAGACAAGCACCGATGATCCTATCCTTGTCGACCGGGTAGTGAAGCCAAGCCCGCGAGTGGCTCTATTCCATGCTCCCTGATCATCTTAATTCCTCGAGACTGTAACAGCTAATTAGTCTCCGCCAGCTCCTGAATGAAAGAAATTACAGCGGGCACGTCGCGTCAAGAATCCAAGCTAGACAGAGCTGGAGCGAGGCGTCAAACAAAGACGTGATCGACAAATAGCAAACTAAACTCGTCGTACCCACTCCCGCCGCTCAGTTTCAGTTTTAAGCCTTCTGCCCGTCCACCACGCTTAATTTAACTGCTGTTCCTGTTAATTATTCCTGTGTGATAAGCGATCGTAATATTATCCAGCTAGCCCGGAACCTTTGGGCCGAAAGGTCGAGGTAGCCAAAAGAGATTACGGGTATCGATAACGCAGAATTTCAGGATGTGGAATGACGCAGCCCGGCCTGGGTTTGACAAGTATGTCCCTTCACTAAATTTAGGTTCAGGCGAGCGGTAAGTTAACTAACTAGTTCATTTCTTCATCGACAGGGCCAAGGAGCTGGCTCAGTTTTGCCTAGTAATGCAGGGGAAATTGGTAGTTAATCTCGCCCCGCAAGATACTGATTATTGCTGATGTTACAAGGAGAGGTTTTTGACAAAGACTCCTTTCGGTCGCTATCCTTGTATCACAGCTTGGTCCAACGTGGAATTATGCCCTGTTGTTCCACCTCACGTAGCCGGTACAAAAGATGATGCCCTGGGCGAAGTACTGCAATGTATCATTTGCATGAAATACATTAGGGCGGGGGGGTCTGGAGGCTGTAGTGGGTACGCCCTTCATCTCGGGCTTCCAGTCAAAAACGGAGGCGGAATAATTGCCGATTTCACTACTTTTCAGTGAGCATATCATATGTGATTGTGATCCAGACATGAGGATCAAACGTCCAGGCATCGTAGATTCCCAGGATAGATCCTGGCGGGGCTAAGCCGCGTTGAAACACGCCTCAACAAACTAACCTCGGTGCTAATTGAGATTGGGTTCTTTGCCCCACGACGGAGGCTTCAGGATAAGATCATTGGCAAGCCGTGAAGCAGCGCGATTCAAAGTCCGAAACCTCTGTCCTTTTGAATGAAAGAGGGAGTTAGCGGCAGAAATTTCGGAGTGCAAGGGCAGCAGGCAACGTTTGGAATTCATCAGACGCAGGCAAATGTGGGGATCTAAATGACCCTCTGCTCAATAACTCTCATCTTGGATATTTTCCGAGGTTTTTGTCGCAACTGTCTGTTCAACCGAGGGCAGGAGGTAAGGAGGTAAGAAACGAGGACGGTGAAAGGTTCATATCTGGCCGGCAACTTGTTGCAGAGCGTAAGTTAACTAACTTAGCTGAGTTGCGGGTAAACTAGTTACGGAGTGGAGAGTACGGAGTAGTTGACGATCAATGGTTCCAGCACAAACTGCCCAGACCCAAACATCCCGAAATCCAACAAAGAATGGTATCCCCAGATAATATGATATATAATAACTAACTACTGATATAACAAGAGATAGATGTTGCTTTTAAAGTCCTATAGTAGGGTTTCTGAATACTCCTCAAAAGCCAAGCCCATCTTTCATTCAACAACAGGGCCCTATCATCAAGCATTTCACAGCTCAAACTATGCGCAAAACGAACAGTAGATAAAAGCGAGGTAAGCTATTTGGAGCTAGCATCTGATGAGGTTCCATTCAAATAGCAAAGCTTGAGCTCACCAACTGGGCATGAATTTCATGATGCAACAAGTTGGTCAATCCCAACATGCCACATCTCTTCACCCAATATCCATCCATATATAAATTTCCCAAGATTGCCCGTGTCCGCGACCTAATTCCAACATCTACTCATTCTTCTCACAGCAATCATTCCTTCCATTCAGGGGATCTACATAGCTGACCACCGCTGAAACTCTGCACTCTGCACCTCAATGAGCTAAACATGAAGCGCATTCCATATATATGAGGAGAAAAATTGCTTAATATCATGAGGATTAACTCAGAACTCGTGGTAATGACACACCTCCAATCCAAAGAGGACGAAAGAAAATGGAATCTTCCTACCGGTTTCTACCTGTAGTATGGAATAACAGGCTATATATAAAACAGAACTCTACCGACCCTCTTGCAGATCGGTCCCTGAGGCGATAAAAACTTCCTCCGGGCTCTTCTTTAATGTCGCCGTGACAAACAAGTTATGTTCTCGCATCACATTCACGGGCGTCTCTGTCATCGGCATCTCTGCTTACTGTTTTCCCGACATCCCATAGCGAGTGTAAAGTATATGCGCCCATCAGCCGAATCCGTGCCAATTAGCACCATGAGACTGCAGTAATTGCCCCAGAGCCTGCAAGTTAGACGAGCCGAACAAGGGCGCAGCGCAAGGGATTTTTAAAAGTTGTGTACATCGGGCAACAGATCGTTTGAGCCCGACTTTATGAAAGTTAATCTTCCGAAATCCCCAAGTTAGCACAAGAAAAATCTTCAAGAAAATTAGATGTGGACCATCTCCCTTTCCCCTTTTTCTGAACTCTGGGATAATTTATCTGCTGGCTTCCAGATGATGAACCGAGCTTCTCCGGAATAAAACGCGTGAAAGAAAACCTTGCTCAATCATGTCCATTATTATTTAGCTTTGACAAAAAAGGGACGACGCTCTCAATGATTGATTGGTTTCACCTGGAACCCCTTCCTCCTCCCGTTCCACTCAAAACGTGATTTCTTCTGAAGACCGGGAAACCCACCCGAAAAAGAGTGTTGTCCAGTCTAGGATCAGAAATATTGACGAGGATTGGCGCGCACTCGGGCTCTCATTTCGATATGTCTTCGAAAACGTTGTCGGCACATACCAAATACGGACAGACAGAGAGCTATTTAATGGCTCCCACAGCATTAAGTTAACCTTATTCTGCCTCATCCTCCGATAAATAGCTCATCTTTTCCCATCCAAGCTTGAGGCAAGCAGGTGTCATTGATTGAAGAAGCCCCTGAATATCATGCCACATACAAACTGTTACCAGAAAAGCACCTCGGTACTGCGTACATTCCATTCTTGTAGTAACTAACCCTTGCATCTTTCTTTGGCTCAGATCACACAAATCATCGATATTCTCAGCTACTTACCTGACCGGCAAATTTTTGCTGTTCTCTGTCTTCGAAAGGGAATTCCAAATTCCAATCTGAAATTATTGACAAGTGGGGGGGGGGGGGGGGGGGAACAATTATTCTTTCTTCGGCCAACCAGAGATCAACTTTTCGCCAATAAGTTCCTTCCTTCCTCCCCGTCTCGTCCCGTCCGTCCCCCCTTCTTCCCCAAGCAGGGAGGTGACATTAGTCCCAAGTTGAAATGGATGTGAACAAATTCTTGTCACATATGTTGATGGCTAGTTGTGTTTTCTCGTCTTCTTCCTACGGGCAGGTCAGGTCGCCTTGGTTAGGAAGCGTCAGGCAGGAAATCTGAGTTTGGTTTTTCATCGGGATTTGTACGGGGAGGGAGGGGGAAAAGGCGAAGGCGAAGGAACCTGTCTGGTTGGTGGAAACGCGTTCTTTATAATGGCATCCCTGACTATACCTGCTCTTCCGAACAACCGAGACCAACAATGTATGACACCACGAACCGAATGGGGCGGTCGAAGAGGGGTTCAAATAAAAAATGAGAACACTAATTCCTGTTCAGTGGTGCATAAAATCAAGAAACATATACCTGATCAGGAGCAAGACTCCGTTTATGCTACTTAGGGTATTGATTATGCTATTTGAAGCATTTAACTCTGCTCCCTTTTCAGCCACCCCTCGAATGGAAAGATCATGTTACAGCTGACTAGTTCTAGGGTAGGAGGTTTCATTGACACTTCGAACTATGACACTAGATATGAGAACTAGCCTGTTGAGTCCATTCAAGACGCCTGACAATGAAGTTTTATTTGTAGACTAGGACGCAATTCATATGAAGCGAAAAGAGGGTTGAAACGTATGACGCCCGCGAAGGTGTTGCACTCTGCGCCATCCAAGCGTTCTCCTCCCTGATCCTAGCTGGAAATCAAAGGGATAAGCAGATCCAAGCGGCTAAGTTTGGTTAGGATGTTTGATCTCTTTTAGCTCGGAGGCTATCCATTTGGTCGTAATTTAGCACATAAAGGTCAGCAGGTTTTGATGCCCGAGAAAGTACTTACAGTCTGTACTGTGGTCTGAGATTTAAAATGAGGTAGGTGTATGGGAGTCATGGAGCTTTGGCAGTAGTAATAAGTGTTTCGGAGTATGATGATGGAATAGCACCATCTTCTTGTAAAGTAGAAAGAGAGATAAAGAAGAGGTCGATGCAAACAAAGTACGGGGACACTCTCAGGCCCAATGCTGATCAAGATAGGTGGGAAACTGAACTCATACTCTTGCCTCTAGATGTACTGCATATAAATACCTCATAAGGAGAACGCTCTAACGACAATAACAGGAGATAAGCCTTTAAAAAGTCCGATATGCACTTATGATTAATTTCTAAGGAAACGGTTGCTAACACTAATAAACTGCCCGGTTCACGCGAGCAAGTGTCAGGCACGCAATCTGATGAAGCATAGCATTCGCAATTCCAATATCGACGTGCTGTCGAGGTTAGACAGTCAAGTATTCCTTGAACTTGATATTATGGGATTCTAAGATTGAAAGCCCATAAAGCTGTCTCCGGGTTGCATAACTATTCAAGTTTTGGCATGTCTCCTCTATCGTTCGTTATATACGTAAGGTTCAACGCTCTTAAAGCACGGTTAGATTGAAATCCATGCCCCTATTCACGTTCCCGATAACTAACATCCATCCAAAAACAATCCGACTATGACTTTCGCCTCCGTACTGTGTAGAAGCTGTTTCCAATTTTGCCTGTCGACAAATTCTGCCGTGGTATGCCCCGCGAAACGTAGAAGCTGGACTCCAGTTCGAACCAAGGACCGTACCAGCCCATTCTTTTCGTTCTCATCTCCTGGATCCGCACAGAATCCACTCCAATCGTTTCCAATTGCATTGTTGATGATCTCGCGTCCATGAATTATGATGGCAGATCTAAATCTGCGCGCGACAGGAGAGGTTGGAGGTGGTGGGTCGGATGGCGTGGAGGACGCCAGAGTCCATAAATTGCCATAATTGGCGAGGTTGCGCGCATGATACGAGTCATTCATGCCTTCTATCCAAGGCCAGCACAGAAGAGTAGGCAGCGCTCCTAGGCTGCTGGAGCTTCGAAGCTAAAAAGTAGAGATGAAGGTGTGCGAGTAGCTGACCCATATCCCCATTGACACCGCGGCCAGGGCCCGAGAATTCCCAGTCAATCACACCTAGTTTGGGCATTAAAGCGGACGGGTCCGAAGAGTCAATGAGGATCCCGCCTGGCCATAGATCGCCGATTATAAAAGAGCGTTCCTCGCCAGATATACCGCGTTCATAGTCTTGCTCCACTATCTCAGATAGATTCATGAAAGCGGGAATGTTGTATTCCTCCAAATGCCGCTTGATAGGTAATAGTTACCGCTATGTCCCGTACCAAATCTGTCGTATTCGGGTTTTTATAAAGCCCGGCAGATCGGTTGCTCCAAAGTATGTTGTAACGGCCTCAAGCGTCGATTCGAATGTAGGTTAGCAAAGAAATGTCCCAACCTTCGACCGATTGAGCGCCATAAATTTCCATTAGACAAAATCGCCTGGAATTGACATTGATTCTCTCCGGGGGGTGGCGGAGATAAGTAATCTGACAGTGGAGTTAGGTTCCCCAAATCTTCGATGATGAGCAGATGAGAATCTTTATCATGGTGAATGAGCCGGGGAACGAGAACATCAGACGCGCGTGGAAGAGGAACCAATGGGCTATCGAATTGCGAAAAGAGCCAACGTATTGGCTTCGATTGTCTATAGTATAGTTACTAAATGCTCCGAACATGTACCACAGAATTGAACCTAGAATAGAGTTGAATTGTGGTGGCAGGGATACATTTTAGGTCCGGTATCATACCTATCTCACACGATCAAATGAAGCCTGTGCCCCTACCAGAGCAACATACGGTGGAGCATACTTCACCATCAAACTCCCATACCATACCCAGAAAATTTCCCTGGATCACGAAATTCTTGACTTCCCTTCTCAGTTCCACCCTGCGTCGTTTCTATAGGGCGAATCAATGCCGATCTTACTGCTCGAACCGTGACGTTGACGATGCCCCCGGTCAGAGGGCGTATGGACCAGGTCGCAGCTGGGTCATGCTCGTGGAAATAGGCTTCAAAATCGAAGGACATGGTAGCTGTGAGGTAGATATTGCACGCTGGATACTCCTGCTTCAGATTGGAAAATGTAGCTTTGGTTTTGAAATCACCGTTGCGGGGTGGGCGTCGATCTTAAAGATCAAGAGCAGGCTATGAAGGCCTAGTGACCTAATGAATACAGTGAATAAGTAATTCATGCAGTTTCCGCGACTTAACCTACCAAACGTATAGATTATATTGGCATTACTTTTATTATTAGGGAAAAGAAGGCAACGCGGTGGGGTTTCCACAGTGCAGCACATGCTACATTCAAAGTACAGTACATGCAATTACATGAGCAAATTAGATATAACAGAATGGAAGAAAATGAAAATATCATGAATCACTCGCCTAGAATTTCATCAATAAAACACAAAGTACCCAAGTGAATAAATCAACGCCTTTTTATTCAACACATGAGTCCTTAAAGACTGGAAACTCGATACAATTATGCAAAGTTATCGACCCTATCAACCCAGATATCCTCGAGCTCAGCAAAATTCTGGAAATGTAGTGGGCGGTGTTGGTCGTCATAGAAGCGCTACAAGAGAAGCAGACGTTAGTAATCATGTAGACAAATTTGCATAATAAAACCAGCATAGAGGCAAAACTTACCAATGGAGTATCAATCTTCACATAAACAGGTCGCTTTTCCATGCTGCTGAAGGAACTTCCCATAAAGCTATAGTTCCAGACGTTGTTCTCCGGAACCAAAAAGTAACCACGTATCTTATCACTAAGCAGGAGTTGGCACTTCTCCCCCAAGCTGGTTGAGAAGCCTTGAGGTTGATCAGAAGAGGTGTCCTTATTTTCAGCGCCCCATTTATAGCCTTGGGGTGTTAAGGCCCATGCGCTCAGCGACACGGAACCTGGGGTGAACGAGACAGTCATCGTCACCGTTTTCTTGTCCCAGGACGGGTGCGCATTCATGAGACGTGCGTGCTGCGTTACATCCATAGCTGTCATATACGACGGTTCGTTTCCAGAGAGTGTATGAATGATACCAAGGGGCTCAAGAGAGTTGAGATACTCATGCTGGGGAAGTTGTTGCGGCAATTGAATATCACGAGTATTTCCAACTTGTGGAATCATAACGATAGTCCGGATCTCCTTGACTTGATCGTTGTCAGGCGGCGAAGCTCCATAGAGATATCCGGCAACCTGCACTCGAAGATCTGCGATTGTGATGAACCGCTTCAAGACATTCTTTGGCATGATATATGTGTAGTGTCCTTCCTCTTGGATATCATCAGAAGAAATATAGATGTTGTTGGCCCGGGTCCGAAGATTTGAAGTCGCAATAGCCCTAGTCCTCCATTCGGTCTTCGAGGCAAAGGCTTGTTGTTCATACTGAGAAGTAGTCGTGACAACAATTTCTTCTCCTCGGACGTTTTGGGTTTTCGTCGTGACAGCTGTGAGCTGCTTCTGCTCCTCCTGCTGTTTTTCAATTTCGGCGGCCTGCTGACGTTGCATGGACGGCGCGCTAATTTCCATTCCGAGAATGATATCACGAACTTCGCTGCTAGTCAGACTTTGTGTGTTGACGTTATTCTTTTTACCGTAGTCATTAAGAATCAAGTCACGGAGTTGCACTTCAACCTTGATCCAGTCCTCATCTGACAGCGTTGGCCAAATGTGGTGCTCTTGGGTAATAACTGTTTTATCAGGACGAAGGAGGATTTTAGTTTTCTCGGGGTTCACATGGAGGGCTCGTAGTATTAGTACAAGTCGGGAAAACGCAGTGTACGACGATATTGTCTTCAACCACTCATCGTAAAGGTTGAAAAGAACCATCTGTGGCTCGGTTGCACGCAGGATCATGTCCGCAAGCTTTTCGACCTTCATCGCAGCTTGGAAAGGTAGCTGAAGCTCGGACGCCCGGATAGAGATATTGGGGAAATCTAGCAGGTGAACTTCAAGTGGATCGAGAAGGCCCTTCCTTGTGACGATTAGTTGCTTCGGCTGTTCTTCGACTGGCAAAGATCTGATCAGTGCTGCAACTTCCTCCGCCGTTTTCCATTTGGCTAATTGGCCAAGACGTTTTTGGCCTGCCCAGACACTTGTATGGATGATTTTAAGGAAAAGTTGACCTGTGCGTGGATTGAAAATGAAAATGGCACCATTGATTGGTTTTGTCGTCAAATTACCTTCGAATGTTTTATGAATCGTGACACGGTAGACGTTAGTGTCATCAATAAAAAGCTGGATTTGGTTACTAAACAATTCGGAGTAGTTTTGGGAATTCAAGAATTCCTGGTTGCTCTCTGAGGCGTAGAGCTGGAGACCTTTTCGAATACGTTCTCTTAGGACGTACAAGGCAGGATTTGCCTTCATGATTTTGGCCATAGCTTGCTGCACCAGAGCCTTCAAACCAGGGAAGTATTGGCCATAGGCCGAGTATAGGTTGTATGCCAGGTCAATGCCAATCATTAGGCCAGTTGCGGATGGATATATGCTCATGCTGTCTGTTGTATAATCGAGGTACTTGGCACGAACGTACCTCTCGATATCATGAGAATCGTAGTCGCCATAACGCAGCTGTACATCCAACCAAAATTTGTTCGTCGTAGTAGGTTCAATGACGTCCTTGGTGTCAAAAAGAAGAGATGGTCTTGTGACATTCCACTTGTGGGTAGCGAATAGTAGGATATCTGCACATGAGCTATTCATCTTATAAGATTTCCTAGGGTGGATAGTCTCTTTCTGTACAGTTTCGATACCCAACTGCTCCAATTCTTGGTCAAATACTTGACAGAGGTCCATGACAACAGACTCGTGAATCTTTTGCCACAAATGAGCACGGAAGATTTGAATCAATGAAATCTTCAAGGTTGGAATCTTCCCGTGTAGGAATATGCCCGTCAAGTCAAGCTGAACCTGGAAACCCACGTAGACATTTGCACGATTAATTGTTGGTGACCACCACAAGGTAAAGCGACGGTTGGGAATCTGATTCAAACCAGATCTCTGCGCGTTGGTCAACTTCTTGAATTTCATAGATTCTTCAAAACCACTGTTGTGTAGCACAAGGAAATCGTGTCGTAGGTAGAGTTGGTCCTTATCGACTCGGAAGCCAGCCCACTCCGTCATGTCCCGTTCAAGATGGATCCCCTTGATAGCGAAACTATGATCTTGGGAAATAATTCTCTTGACGCCCCTCTTTCGTGCTAGGAGGCTAGGAACTTCTGCCACATTTCCGGATATCCTGGCAGAAAGATGCGATTTACATTCTGCGCCAGCCGGGTTATGCAGCTTAAGCTGATCCGTAGAAACACTCAGACCTAGGGACCGTGCCAACACGACGATGTCCCAGAAAAGAGAGGGTGCAATGCGTTCGCTCTCGCTGAAGCCGAACGTATTCTCGTGTTGGCAATACCAACCATCACCATCGATCAGCCCTGCAAGAAGAGCGAGGCGGATTGATCGTGAGTTATTCATGTACACTGAAGGTATATGTTTCTTTTCAACTGCATGGCCGGCTGTGCCACGTGCAACTAACCCTAATTCTTCGAATGCGCGCAGGAGCGAACCTACGCTAGTACTGCTAGTAGGTCGAGTGAGGATATTTCCAAGGATTTGTTCTTCCTCGTGGGGAGCGAGATCCCCATATGCTCGAAATCCCGTCCGCAGGCGGTGTTTATGTCCGGGGACGCGTTCAGTCAAACCCTGAGTTTCATCTTCAATGCGCTCCGTATCAAACAAGTCGACTTCGGGTTCTTCTCCGGACGACGCTTGGTTAATCATGGTCTCTTTACGCAACCCGCCCTTATCCACTACTTGTGCGAGATCCAACCCGGGGCTACGCAGTGACAGAAGGTTCATCGAAGTCATGGCTGAGGATTCAGAAAGAGGATGGCGACTATGGCGGCTTGACGAGGTCTTCGTGCCGGAGGCCAGACCATGTTTTGCCGGTGTCTGAAAGATATGGTGGTGATGTGAGTCGGCTGCTTCTGTTTGCACAGCGGCGAGCCGTTGCTTGAAGATGGTCTGTCGCGCTTCACGGGGGATCGGTCGTTGCGTTTCTCCTTTCGAAGGTAGGCCACTGAGACAAGTGGTGTAACTGGGTAGTGCATGCGATACATGATGCAGATCCAACTCAGCGGCATGGTTGATGAGAAACTCACGGGCTTCTTCTTCAGGACTAGTGTAGATAGTGGTACTCGGGCGAACTCCATCGCATAGCCAAAGGGCAAGGTAATATGGGTCAATTGGTACGCTTTGCTCGGCCAGCTCGAAGCCAGGAGATCTAAAAAGTCGATAAAGATGCATTTCTTCGGGATCAAGAGCAGCAAAATCAGAAGCTGTCATTTCCACAGTGTCATAGTGCTCCGCTACTGAAACTGACGCTCCGCCGCCCTGACCATTTTGGTCTTTCTTCTCGCGGTGAAGAACAAGAATATGGTTTGGCGTTACAACAAGATCTTCTTTTTCTGCGTCAATCTTGATGCGATACAGACGATCACGTCCACTGACAATATTGAAGGCACGCCGGGGTCCGCCGTCGGGGCCAAGCAGCAGGTCTCCTTCTCTCACACTTTCCACTCCAACCTTAGTACCATCGTACCGAAGCAGCTGTGTTCCTTTGGCAAGACAGGCACGTTCCCAAAACAATCCCTCCCATGAAGGGAATGCGGTCGCCTTGAACAGGGTGTGCTCCAGGATCGTTTCAACACCCCCGAGGGCCTGAATAACGTCGGTTCGATAGGCATTGAGGTTCCACAATTTACCGTCATGCCTCTGACTTGTCCACCAGAAAGGATTGCTCTTCATCAATTGGTAAGTTTTGAACTCGGTTCGAGTGCGGAAACCTTTGTCGAAACTAAGAGTACTTCGGTCTTTTTGGAAAAGTGTATTGATACGCGGAAGGCCGCGATCCCAACTGTCTTCCAAATCCTCAAGTGTCAGTCGTCGATTTTGTTGATTTGCCTCTTGTCGCTTCTGAGAGTATTCCATCCACACACGTTGCGAGTCGGTAAACTCGGCCTCCCAAGGTATTATATATCTAAAGATGTTAGGGATCAAAGTTTCCTCATCGTGGGACATACCCGCTCGGTAGTGGGTGACGCCAGTGTCAGTCTGCTTCCACCAACGTTTGTCGCTGGCCGGAATAAGTATGTGAGAGCCGGAAATCATTCCCAGGCCTCCCAATTCCTTTGGGGTGTAGAATACGGCCGGAGGGAAACGAGACGGCATTTTCGAGTTCAGGCCGATCTTAACCCGGGTTTGGATTTTGGTTTCGCATTTAACTATCGTATCCAAGAGGTTAACAGTTGACACCGCGGCTTCTCGATAATATGTGAACAGAGCGATCAAACTCGTATTCCACTTATTGGCAATCTTAGTAAACGTAGTCGAGCCAGACGACATTAGAATTTGCCTGATCCGATTGTTGAACTTCTGGATATCCTCTTCCGTGACTTGCAAGAACGCGTATGCAGTTCGTTCTTTGGTCGTGTTATTGGCCAACGACCAGACACTGTCTTTAACTTGGAACTCGTCATTCTGGTTGCGGATCTTCGGTAAAATGCGGACCTCGAATCCACACATCGAAAATAGCAGGTTTGGATTGTCCTTGCTATACACACTAGCAAAAGTGTCATCCCACTCAATTGTGGTAATAGATCTTGGAAGGCGGTTCTTTAGATCCCAAAAAACGGCACGACCCAAATTAACGTCATGTCTCATCAACCGCATTCTCGAGTCCCTAGGCCAACACTTTTTATTTTTATACCCGATCACGTTTTCGAAATTCGGGTCTGGCTGCTCGGTCAAAAATCTTTGAATAAGGTCTCGCGATTCATCGGCCGAGAATCTTAGGAACACCCAAATTTTGTCAATATATCTTGTGTAGAGACGAATAGGGTGTCTAGTTTCAGTTGCCCGGTCTCTAAACTGTAAGAAATCATTTGGGCTCTGGGGAGGACCTGCAATTTCGCTGGCTCGTTGCAAGCCCAACAGGAGCAGATCGATCACGAGACCATAATACTGGAAGACAAAGCCAGAGAATTGGAGGCCACGGATCATACCGTAACTATTGGTATGATTCATGTCCTTGTAGTTGAGCTGAACATTATTTTTTGACGTGATGTAATCAGCCAAGTTGTGGTCCATAATGAGTCGGAGGAGTCGATTAAGTAGGGTGAGGTCAATTTTCTCATAAACTTTAGATAGCTCTGTCTCAATCATAACATTACACTCGCCATCGGCAGTTTCCCAAACATTCGATAGGTTGTTAATTCCTTGAGCCCATTTGTACGTGAGCAGAGGGGGCACCTCGGAATCCGATGGTTTGATCCAGGCTGGAAATAGGTGACGCTGATCCGCTTGGTACCAAAGATATTGATCCAAGTACGCATCGGTTATTTTCTCAATGGGCTCGATGTCGTACACCGGGTTGATGTTGGAATAGTTGTCGTTCATGTCGATACCAACTTCCTTGAAAGCTCGCTGTGTGAGAAGAAATCTCTTAATTCTCGCAAGGGTTGTGCCTGGGGAATCATAGGCTTGTTCAATTAGAGCAAGTTCTTCCCGCTGGCTTTGATTCAGGCGGCCCTTAACAGAATATGCCTCGCGCAAACGCTCGAGGGCCAAAATTAAAATCTTTGTATCATGCTTGTAAGATACGCTGGGGAACGGAATAGGGGAGAATTTTCGAGATTCCAGCCAATGGACAGTGGTAGTATAAATGGCGACAGCTTCTTCCGAAGAGACGTAAGGGCCGTCTTTCAGATAGTTGTGTTGTCTCTCTTGTTCAGCTTTGAGCCAGAGTCGCGTGAGTCGTCCGAGGTTTTTCTTAGCCACAGTCTTATCAACCGTTGCTCCGCGCCGAATACGCTCTCGATTGTAGTGGGCAACGGAAATCCACCAATCCGCCTTACTCTTAACATACCTTAGGATGATGTTCTCGATAGGAGCAGGAAGTCCCGGCACTTTCCAAGGGATGTTACTCTTCCAGCATCTCCAAGCCTCCGAGAGATGTTGTAAAACGGTGTTGACCTTATTTTGTTTAATGCCTTCGGGCATCATGTCCATAAGATCTGCCATTACGGAAGCACGAAGTTCAAGATCGAAATGGGACTCAACACGTTGCTTCGTAACAGTCTTCGCGACGCCTTTGCTGTGACGCCCTTCAAATTGACGAGAGAGTAAGTTTCCGAGCCAACGCTCCAGGAGCGGAATAATCCCTCTCAGGAAAAAGAGCCAAACCCTCCAAGCAGGTGCCCAGAATCCACATCCAGGGCCCTTTCCGACTGGACCGGAATTAAAGCGATAGTATATGAGATGCTTCAAGTCTTTGCAAGATCTGATCTGGTGCATGAGCTTGTACTTGTATCTGTACATGCCGGTCAGCTGGCCAACATGGTTGAAAGCGTAAAGGATGCCGTCGGCCAGTTGGAAAGCATCGATATTACCCAAACGGTATTGAACTTGGGCATCAACGATCAGCTTTGTCAGGCGAAGAATCTCTCGCATTAGATGGAAAGCATTCCCAAAGCGGGACTTTTTTCTCTCCTTTGTCGTCAAAGTCTTCACTGGTTTCAAATTGAAGTTATAGTCCAGATGTAAATAAGTCAAATTTTTGCGATGAATCAACAGGTTCAACATGTTAAATCCTTGGCGACAGACTTGGAGCCCAGCTTCCACCCAATCGATGGTTGTTTGTTGGAAGAATTTTGTGCCTTTCAACGTCCTCAAAAGATTCTGCTTGCTTTGCGCCTTAGGTTTCTTCCGGTGTAACTCGTTCAAAACGTAAGTCTTTAAAAGCTTCTGGTATGAGACACGGACCTTTACAGGTTGGCCTGGCGGACAGTGCTCCAGGTACCATTGCTTCACAAGTGGTACGTCCTGTGCCCGAACCATTTTACCAGAGCGCCGGTCAAATGGGTATGGCGCCCACCAAAGAGCGATTGCTGAGGCCGTTTCACTGGTGTACAACTCTTCGTCGCCCAAGAATGGCTCAGCATTTCCCGGAAGTGTGAATTCATCCTCGTCATTTCCAGCTCCAAAAATTTGATCTTCGTGGCTGACAGTTATGTTCTTGGGGGCGACGGAACGGGACGATATGGGATTAATGACAGGGTCAAAATAAAATGCAGGGAGGTTAGGTTCTGACCGGACATAAACGATCTGAGGATAAGAGTACCAAGAGAGCTTGACACTTCGTGGTAACGAGTTATATACGTAAGGGAAGGCGACTCGGTATTCCGTTCGGATTGGAGCTCTGAAAATGATACGATCTATCGCATTGAATTCGCCAAAATCTTCATCATTTGGGTCGACGTCTTTATATAACGGCTCAAATCGGGGGCCGCCAGGGATCGCCACATTAAGAGCTTTTGCGGTTAAAAAGCTGTTCAGATCGAACATGTGGAAATAATTATTGTCTACTACGTCGCTAAGTAATTGACGACTTAAGCGATATAGCGTTGCCATTTGGGGAAGTGTCAAATTCCACTCCTTATAGCTAGGGCCATTCACGTGGGGAGTATCAAGGAGTGGACGATGATCGTAAAACCACTCGAATACAGGACTATCTTCAGATTCGTCAAGTTCCATCTGAATGGGTTCCAAAGGTTCGACATCTTCAATGTTTTCCGACCATGACAACGGTGGCTCTTCATCATCGAAAGGAGGAAAACGCATTCTTTTGAAGTGCCGACGGTCGCTTTTCTCTCGTCGCATCGTCATCCACATTGTAGCCCATTGCGCATGAAAGACGGGTTCAATAACTCGGGGGATCTCGTTGACTAAGGTCAAGCAGCCATTCACATGATAAAGCACCTTAACCTCCCGAGCGGACTCCCAAGGCATCGGCATATTTTCCAGCAACTTGAGCACGGCATGAGGCATGAATTTTAATGCTCCCAAGTAGCTCCTCTTGTCGGTGCTGAACTTTTTCTGTGACACATCTCCTATATCCTTCACAATCTTCCGCAAATGTTCTGGTGGCAGATCTGACTTCTGGCTTTCTACAAACCCGGCTTTCCTCTTCTCCCCGAAACGGTTTCGTTGCGTCCGCAGCCATTCGGTTTTCTTTTGGGCAAACTTTGCAACCAAGGGGTCGGCTGGGGGCCGGTATCCGGGAGGTGGGGGAGCAAGAGGCATCGACGGGGGAGCTGCAGCTCCCCATCCCGGAGGCGGAGGAGGAGGAAGAGATGCCATGGTGAGCGCGAAAGGCACCAAATAACCAAGTCTACCTCGCCTCTAGCTGATGATGGCAACTCAGGCGAAAATGCGGGTTACGTCCAGCTTCACCATCAGTAAACAAATGTCTTCGATGTCCAGGAAAACATCCAAATGCGCCGTAATGATTAACAAAGATTCCAACGCGACAGAGTAGATCAGAAGGTCTCCCGCGTGGATAAGACTGGGATGTTTGTTCATCCTTCGACATCTGAAGCAACGCGTTGGAAGAAATCCTCCAGGTGGCGGGTGAAGTACGAAATCCGCTAATCCATATTTAGATTAGTGTCTTCTCGCCAAATCGTTTAGCGTACGTCCCGAATTTGCATGCAACACACACACAAAATCGAATCGAACGTTGAAAAGCCAGACGACGACAACGACAACGACGCGCCATCTCCCCGAGCCAGAGCTTAGCGACAGCAGCGATTAGAGGACAGTCACAATGGCAAATACCAGACTTCAATACGTAAGTGAAATGGATAATCGCTACGATAGCTACAGAAAACTAATTTACTTTTTCTCCGGATAGCGACGACGGAATCCGTATGTACAAATTCTCCATCTCGAACCGCTGCGAAATCTATCGCCTTGGTGGATGGAATTTTTAACATAGATGGTGGTTCTGACAAATGGGTGAATCAGGTACAACACACGGTCAAACAAAGTCCGCATCATCAAGACCCCAGGAGGCAAGCTCCGATACCTTCACATCAAGAAGAAGGGAACAGCGCCAAAATGCGGTGACTGCGGTATCAAACTCCCAGGCGTGAGTCTCATCTAGCGAGTTCCTATATTTTTGTGGCATTTTTTGGCATCAAATCGGGGGGAGATGTGTATGAAACAGTTTGGACGGACATCTTTTCAACCCAGATAAAGGACACTGGAAAATTCCGATTCGGATTACGTACGACACGCTAGAACTATCGCCAGGTTACTGATCTTGTTTCTTCTTTTTTTAAAAACATCAGGTTCCCGCCCTCCGACCCCGTGAATATTCTCAGATCTCCCGACCCAAGAAGTCTGTGTCCCGTGTCTATGGCGGCTCCCGCTGCGGTGGTTGCGTCAAGGACCGCATCGTCCGTGCTTTCCTTATCGAGGAGCAGAAGATCGTGAAGAAGGTGCTGAAGGAATCACAAGAAAAGGCTGCTGCTTCGTCGAAGAAGCGTTAATCTAGTGAAGGTGGGAGGTGGGAAGTTGCTGTGGATATTGTTCGATTGTTCCGGCGTTCCGAGGGACGAAAATGGCGGGAAACCACGACATACGGAAGGGTCAGTCATGGCTGTGATTTTTCTTTTTTCTTTTTCCTTTTTTTTTTTTTTTTGTTTTCTGTTGTGCCATTGATGTGATCTTATTCCAGTCAATGATGGGTTGAGTTTGCTTGGTTCTGGAATGTCCCCAGGTTTCCGCCGAGATAGAAGTGTAGGCAAATTTTCAATCCATCACATATTCAAAAATAAATTTAACGTCATTTCATCCTATGATTCAGCTTCTCTATTCACTGATATTTCACATTTCCGGTTATTCGCCCCTTCTGATTCCGACTAACAATGTTTCCTTTCCAACCCTTCTTTTCCTAAGGGCTTATTTGTCTGTTTCTCGCAAGGAGATAGGCAGTCAACGCATATGAGTTCCTCAACAGTCGACCAATCAGCTATCTAGCTAGGTAGTTGATGTCTTATTCCCATTACAGAAAAACCACAGTCGTACTGTGAGACCGGTCCAGGTTCGTACAAGTCAAGACAACCCTTATTGTCGTAGGATATATCAAGGTTCAGATTTTCCATCCTGGAGCTACGTCGTTGCCAGTCCCAGGAAAATCTTGTGCAACCCAAAAATATCCAATGCTCGCGAAGTCCCAACTTTTTCGAATTGTTTCACCCTACCCGTGGACGTTTTTGATGATATCAACACCACGCAGTGTGTAATCTTTCGCGCCCTGTCCGGCTTCAGGAATATTTCAGTTGAGGATAAGTGTCGTACATCCCAGCGGGTGACTACAGCGACAATAAAAACTAGTTTAGTTCCGTGAGGCTCGGTGTTTTCTAATTTGAGGCTACCATGCAAAACGATGCAGGGCTAGCCTCACAGGTATTGGTGAAGCAGATGCCAGGCTTGGTCTATGCATCCCCGGGAGGACGGGTAACTGTGAACCTGGAATGCAATAGTAGCCCTGCTTCATTTGTGCAGTGGTCGCAGCCTTACCACAACAGTCCTACTGCAGAAAGCCAACATTGATGCGTCACCCTTCCTTTGCATAGAAATGTGGGACGCTTTACTTGCAATACTTACAACGCGACCATTGAGGAGTACAGCTACTTATCTGCGCATGGGAAATTGACAGATGACAGCTTGCTAATATGCAACTATGTCTTAAAGACATGCAAGGTAATGCAAGCAATTTGAACGGCTATTGTATCTTGAGCTGTCGGTTACATAGCTGGAATTTGTTTCTCTTTACGCACAGATCAATTATCCCGTATTCCCAAACCGATGCAATGAGGTTGGTCTGTGACCGTCAGCGATGTCCCCGTTGGCTTCCTCAACTCTGTGGCAAAGAAGGAACTGGTCCCGGATAAATAATTATTTTGGGTAAAAAGGGAACATCCATGGGTAATTGTGAAAGGGGAGCACCAACATACAGCAGCTGGTATGCCCTTTTGTATGCCTCGCATTTTACCCGCGGGGAGCAGCATTCTGCAGACACATAGATATCATGGTCTCAAGGTACATGTGCACGTATAGTAGTGTCCAAGAAGTTAGTGTACTAGGGGCTCAGTGCCGAGCATCCCCTCATATACCATACCCCTCTTCTTTGAAGTTCTTCCTTGATTCCTCAACCACTCAACATCCACACTATAGGCCAAAATATGCCTTTCAAATCAAGAACATTGTGTAAAGAGCATTTTCCAGCTATTATATGAACAGGAATATTCATTTCTATCTATTACTCGGACTTTGAAATTACTCTGCTCTATTATATTCTCTATTATCTATTATGAAAATGTAGAAAGAAGAAGAATATATAAACTTGAAAAAATAATCTCAAAGATGTTCTACTGTAACGTGGCGGAACCGAAGCGGTGGCTAGCCGGTGGCGACACGTAGGGGTAGTTGTTTGGGAAGCTGTATGGGTGGGCTTGACTATCTTGCTTGAATAGCGAGCTCATAGGCTACAGGGTTATTGCGAGGATATCACAGATATGATACTTAGTATACTAAGAAGATTGTATGAGGCACACAGTAACTCTTGTGTATATTATTCCTGTAGAAGAAAAAGACAAATCACTGACTTCTTTGATGAGGAGTCAGTATCTAGCTATTCTATATAGACAATGAGTGAATACTCTTCTCTCATTTCATAAGCAAGAATAGCTGGAGTAATACCTCAGCAGCATCTCACTGTCAAGAAAGAGTAATCTGCTGATCTTGTATAGAAGTGAAGTTCTCATATTCATTAATCAGATCTTTCTATAATATATCTGAATGATGTTATAGAGTGATTGAAAACCAGTTCAGATGAGATGAAATCATTCATATAAAAGCAATGAGCTGTGTGAAACTGTAATAGAGTCTTGATACAGCTAGAAGTGTGACAATACTCTCTCTCTTAAGAGTATAGTCTCTATGTTCTTAAGATTACTGAATTAGAAATTATCTTTGTTATATAGTAATAGTTACTAACTGATTAACAGTGTATATGCTGTACATGATATAAAGAAATAGATGAGTTATTCTACTGACTGTATAGATCTTTCTTTTTCCATCTTCATTCAAATCAAACATATGATAAGTGAGTTTCTTATATATTAATTTGAAATGAGAAAAACATAGTTAATAAGCAGCTTGCAGATCTCTCATTATATTTCATTCTATATATAAAATTCTCTGCAAAAGTGATGTGTTTTAGAGACAAAGCTGACAGTAGTGACAGGATTTTTTGAAAAGATTCTCTCTCTTATAAAACATTCTTCTTCTCTCTCTCTTCATCTGTAATAGTAAGTGCATGAGAGTATTATTCTTGAAGAACAGTAGAGGACTTATTCTGACATTTTCTAGTGAGTAAATATCTTCATGATGTGACAGCAGTCTTTATAACTGTCAAGAAAGCCAGATTGAAGACAGTAGCATTAATGAGCTGCAGAAGCACTGCTTTCATTGTCATATCTTCTTCTACTTCTCTTACAGTTACAGCAGTTCTGTCAGTCAGTATATCTGTATTCAGTCTGTTCTCTACTCTCTTCATCACTATTGTAACACTGCTTTCTCTCTCAATCAATACAGTGATGTATGACTCTGTGTAATCATTCAGAGAGAAACTCAGAGAGAGCTTGATTTCAGAAACAGTGACTCTGAGAAGCTTAATTCATAGTTTCTCTTTCATACATCTGAGCTCTGCTTGAAATGCTGCTGAGTTGAGTTCACAGAGTTCTGCAGTTTCTTCATCTTCTCTCTATGAGAAGGCTTCAGTGCAGTCTCTGATTAGTATTACTACTTATCTACACTGTATTAAGCAGCTGAAGAAAGAGAGGATTTTATATATTCACTTCTTCTCTCACTCTCATTATTTCTATTATATCTGTAATAATAACTTCTGTCTCTCTGTAAGTATTATCTCACAGAAAGACATTATATCAGCTCTGATAAGAAGTCTAGATACTTAAGCAGTACAGAGTGAGAGTCTCAGAGCTTTAAGTATTAATAGATTCTGTTAAGACTGAGAAGATCTCTTTTACTCATCTATAAAAGAAGATGAAAGCATGAATCTCTGAGATGAAAAAACATCTCAGAATGACTGACTCTAAGAAGAGATCAGTCAGTGTCACTGTTAAAAGTATTATAAAGATTAATCACTGATTGAAGAGAATCTCACTTCAATTGAAGCAGATAACTGAAATACTTTATAAGTTAGTAAGTTAATATTTCATACATTTCTTCTACTCTTCTGTGACATCATAGTACTAACTTCTCAGCAGATAAAGATACTGATACTGAAGACTTCAATAATAAAGAATGAGTTTGATAAGAGTGTAATTATTAATGAGTAGACTCTGATCTTTCTTTTTACTTTTTCAGCAGGCTGCAGCCTTATTAGAATAGCAGCAGTCTGTGAGTTAATAATATTAATCTTTTTATTAATTTCAAATATCTCTTTTCTTTTAACTGCTTTAGAAATATTATACTTGTATAGTCTTATTAAACTTCTAAAAACTCTTTAAGAGAAAATAGAAGAAGAGTGTTATAGAGTCTATAAGACATCAGCTCATCATTATAAAATTATCTCTAAAAAATTCTTTGAGAAAAATAAGAAGTCTTAAGTGATATTTCTTACTTAACATCTCTGATGTGTAATAGAGCAGTCTCTATTAGTCATCTCATAGATTGCAATCTCTTTCTCAGTATTTTTCAAATACTTAAGCAGTTTTTATGAATTCTCTGACAATGAATAATCTTCTTATTTAACAAGGTATTGAAGCTTGCTATAATATATTGTAAGAATAAGTGCTCGCAGATGATTATTCAGATGTTTACAGCTTGGCGTGATATGTACTGTTAACTACTAGAAGTATTCACAGTAGAAAGATAAAATGTAGAGATCAAATGTATAATAGCATTCAAGCTGAGTTATGAATAGTATTTGTGAACTTCAGTCTATATAGTTGTGTGTAGTCAAGAGTCACTCGCTCTATTAATTATATAAGAGATAGAAATAGAGATAAAGAATCTGTGAGAAGTGAGATTTCTTACATACTTCTCTCTCTCTAAGACTTCATCTGTGAAGTCTTTCACTGAGTGACTTCATAGTTAGCTCAGTACTGCAGTGATACTTACTAAAAATTCTTCATATCTATAAAAAACCTCAGTGAGAAAAAATTCCTTATTACTATAAAGAGAAAAGAGTCTGTCACTCAGTTTCTTATTTCATGAGATTCTTTATAGTCTACAGATTCTTCTCTGACTATTATACAGATTTATCTCATATCTTTTATACAGAAGAGTTCTGATTGACTCTCAATCATTTTCATAAGATTCTTATGTAATCATTATATAAATTCATCTCACAGGTGAATCACTCTCTGTGAGATCACTCTTATCAAAGAGAAATATTTATAAGTTAATCTTTCACTCATTCTTGTGAATCATTATTCTTTAACACTGTAGAATTGTGAGAAATTTTTCATTCTTTCATTAACTCTGTAGAATTATAGAATTAAGATGTTCACAGTCTGCAATTACTCTTTATAGTTATATAGAAAGATTCAGATCTGTGATTCACAATCACTCTTATTTACTAAAGTGATCTGACTATTTCATGAAATCACTCACAGTGTAAGTAAACCTCTCTAGAGTAGTATAAATATCTCAGATCTGTTCACAGAATCTCATCTTCTTTTTTCTTTTTCTGTAACAGCTCTTATCTCTATAAACTGTGAGTATTCTTATTCATCTGTGAAGTGTTTTCACTCAGATGATAGAGAGAAAGTGTTTCTGACAATATCTGTGTATTAATTCAAGAACTTCTCAAGAATAAAAATTTTTTCAATTTCAATCTCTTTGTAAATAATGTCTGATCACTGCTGAGCTTCTTATAAGCATTCTCATGACTTCTCTGATCACTTTTTGCCAGCTGATGAAGCAGAAATGTCATCACTCATAATCATGTCTTCACTTCTCTCAGCTCTGTCACTGCATCTGATCTTCAGATCAGCAGTCAACTCTCTGCCTTTCTCAGATCAGTCTCTGGCTTCAAGCAGTGCAGTTTCTTTCTTTACTGTAAGTCTTCTTATAAGTAATTTCTTACAGACTCTAGCTAACAGTTCTTATAAAACTTCTGATATTATCAGTGTCTTCTGCAGCTCTGCAGATCTATAATCACTTCTTCTCTACTTATACAATCACTGATCAGGTATATGCAAATATGCCTAGATTCTCTATCAATAATTCTCATACTGCAGCGCATTTCTGCAATCTCATTATCAATGAGAGATGAGTTCTCAGATACCTGCAAAATTCAGATAATCAAGATAATATGAATGTTATAAATTCATAATAGAAGTTAATCTGAACAGATGAGTCTTCTCTCTACATCTCAATTATTTCTGAGCTGAATACTTCAGTATAACTGAGAGAGTGAACACAGCTTTATAAGAGATATCTGATCACATGTGCAGATGATCAGCTCTCAAGACTCTGTTATAACTATATATACTCTGATATTCAGCTTCTCTGAAGTCTGTGCATTTCTGACAGTCTTCATATCAAATGCAATAATTATCTGTATTATGAGTATGATACTCTCTGCTTCTTTAAAGA